CGGCTCGGGTCGGGGCGTCCGGAGAGCGCCTCTGCCGTGTCCCCGTGCGCCAGTCCCCGCCTGCGCCCCAGGGCCGTGGGGGTGTCCCCAGGACCCTGCGAGGACCGGCGTCCCGAACCCGTGGCGGCGGTGCACTTGCAAAGGCGGGAGAGTGAACAAGGGGAGGGGGCCGAGCAGCTCCGAACGCAGGGCCCCGGTGAGCCACTGAGCGCCCGAGGAGCTGGCCCGGAGACTCCAGGGCCCGGTGTGAGAAGGACCCGTGACACTCGGTGGGGCTTGAGTTCAGGGAGGTGGGAGGCTGAGGACCGGGCACGGGCTCCTGCCACAGCCCCAAGGTGCACCGGGAGAACGGGGAATCCTCCCAGCCCCTTTTCCATGAGGTGAGGATAACTCAGTTCCTGCCTCTTAGGTGCTGGGGGTCCTTGGAACGCAGCCACCTGTGGGGAGGTGACCTTTCTAGTCCAGTTAGACATCAGGCTGCCACAAGCAACAGGCAGACTGGCAGACTTGGGACCCCTCCCATCATGTCCTGGCAAGACCTGTGCCTCTCAGTCGGGCTCCAAGCTGGCCTGACACACCTTCATTGACCAGGGAGGGTGTGCCTGCACCCTGACTCCCCAGACTCAGGTCTGGGAGGGTCTAGGCAAAAGGGGTCCCTGAGAAGGGAGGAATGGCTGGACATGATGGCTGGACCAGGCCTGACTCTTCCTGGGAGTCAGCAGGTGAGCCCTGAGACCCGACAGAAGGAGGTAGGTAGGGGCTGAGCCACAAGGAAGCCAGGACCTGGGGAGGAGCCTGTGGTGGGGAGGTGGAAGGGGTGCGGCGGGCGGGTGACAGGGTAGGTGGAGACCAAGTTTTACAGACCCTGAGCTGGCGCCTAGTGAGGAAAAGAGCACGGCCCGCCCAGGTGGCCTGTGAGCTGGGGCCTCTTCACCTGTACTGGCACCCCTGGGACAGGTGAGACAGGTAAGAGGCAAGATGGATGGATGATTCCTTCACTAACTTTCCTCTCCTTCCTGGCCTTCTTGTGCTGAGGCAACCCCTCGGGTTCTGCCTTGAATGTGCGCAAGACCAAGTCAGTCTAAGCTCCACTCAAATCAGACCTGAGCAAGAACTTCCCGGTGAAACAGAGGGACCAGTGGGCTGGGCTGGGTGGAGGTCAGTTGTAAACAGGGCGGCCCTACCTTTGTCCTGGGCTATCCAAAGTCCAGTGCAAAAGCCCCTCCTCCAGCCAGGTGGCCTGCAGGGACCTCAGGGTGATAGGGGGCCTTCCTAGGCCCCTGTCCATCTAAGAACTAAATAGTAAGACAAGGACTGGTGGGGTGAGGGCACTCAGATACCCCCACGTACTGCTTGATCTGGGGGAGCCCTTGCCCTCTGTTTCCCCATCAGGTCATAGGCCTGACCTCATTTATGGGGCCTGGTGGCCATTTGTGAAGAGCCCAGCGTGGTGGCTGGGATCTCACAGCTGCTGGGCACTGGCTGTGGCAGGGCTCAGTGCTGGCGCCCTCTCTCCCAGCCCATTGGGCCCTGGCTGACCGGCAGCTTTTGTTCACCGCTGAGCTGGGTTTCCTGGGGGACCAGTGGCCAGGCCCAGCCCCCCAGCCCCTTCTGGCTACAGCTCTCACCAGGAGGAGGGGCCAAGTCTGGGCCGCCTCCTGGACCCCTGCCCTCCCCCACCTCCCACCTCGCCTTGCCTTCCAAGGCCCAGGGAGCGGCCTCAGTCCACTGCTGGGCTGGGATCAAGGCGCCTTGGCTGCCCTTGGAGGAGGTGGGTATCCAGGGACTGCCAGCTGGAGGCGGGGGGTGGGGTGGGGAGTGGAATTAGGGAGACCCGAATCTCCCCACCCATTGTAGGAAGGAGAAACTGAGGACCAGGAGGGCAGTGACGCACCTACAATGACCCAGGATTCAGCCCCAGGCACGGGGAGTCTCCTGTGGAAATGTAGAGACTCCGAGGTCCTGGGCTTCGGGGATTTGGAGAGGGGACATCAAGGACCTGGGGGATAGCAGAACTCTGGGAAGATCTCTTGGAGCATAGAGCACAGGGCTGGATGGGCCGAGGGTTCTGGGAGCCAGCACAGGCCGTGCAAAGGGGCAGTGTGTGTGTGTGTGTGTGTGTGTGTGAGAGAGTGTGCAGCACAGAGCCATCCAGCTGGGGGAAGAGGGTTCCAACCAGGAGGGCCAGGGTTTGTCTGGGATGAGCCGGCCTCCCCTGCACACAGCCTTTTGGGCTCCAAAGCAGGCGTCTGTCAGCGCCCCAGCTATCTGTCTGTCTGTCCGTGTCCCTCTGGGTCTCTCTCTGCCCTTCCACCAAAGCTCCTGATTCCTATCTCTACCCCCACAGGTCTGGGAGACAGCTGCAGCTGGGATGGCAGCCCTATAGCATCTTGGAGGCTGGCCGGGGTCTGGCCTTGGCCTGACAGCCCACCACCTGTGCGCCTGCCCACCCTCCACTCCTAGGCCCCTCGCCATGGGTGGCTGCTTCTCCAAGCCCAAGCCAGGTGCCTGTCTCCTCGCCCTCCTGGCCCTCTTCCTCTTGCCCCTCCCCCTCCGCACTCCCGGGACTTGAAGTAGGTCAAGCCAGGCGAGCCCTTTAGAATGTTAATTCATCCACTGCAGGAGGGGGCGGGGGCCTAGGGCCATTTGCGGGCTCCCTTCACGTGGGTCCCCCTCTTTCATTTGGGGGTCTGAGTGCTGGAGGAGGGAGTAGGCACTGAAACCTTCTCGGAAAAGGCAGGGTGGGTTCATGGCTGCCGTGAGGTGGGGGAGGGGCTGTGCCCCACAGGGCTGGAGAAGGGCGCTCTAGGACGCCCTCTCAGTGGCTGTGTGACCCAGGGCACTCAAGAGACCTCTCTGAGCCCCAATGTGAAACGGGCCTGACCACCCTCAACTCTGAAGGCTCACCTCTTCTGATCTTGCTGTGTGACCTTGAGCCTCTACCTTGGCCTCTCTGGTGCTACCGCCCTGTGGCAGTCGGCTCCGGCCAGGGGTGGGGACGTCCCAGGTTCTGGGGAGGCCAGGGTTTCTTTTCCACTGGAGACCAGTGTCTGCTAGCTCTTCCTGTGGGCCCTACTTTCCTTCTTCATGACATCCTGGGAGGCTCATGGATGAGGATCCTGCGGCTGGGAGAGGCCTCCCCAGAACCTTCAGGGCCCCGGCCCAGGCCACCCTGCCCAGCAGGTCTCCCCAGCTCCCTTACCTGATAACCATCGGGGTCCATCACCTTGGAACCTGTGAGCCTTTTTCCTCTTCCTGGGTCTGAGGGAGAACCTGGTGGAGCACGGGGCAGGGTGGTGGTAGTGGTAGAGCTGGGGTGTAGCGCTGCCAGGCAGAGCCACCCACCTGCGCCTGCCTACCTTGCCCGACACCTGTGCTGCAGACACCACGGCCAGGGCCTCATCTTGCTGTCCTCTTACTCGTATGTGTAACTGGGGCCCAAGGCATACCCTGACCTGACCCCAGCCTTCCCCCTGCAACGTGGGGAGAAGGAGGCCAGCTGGCCCTGGCCAGATGCCTGCAGGACTGCTGGGCTGGCAGGAGGCCCAGGGCAGGTGCCACCTGCAGGGACCTCGTGGGCTGGCCTCCCTGGGAAACCCCCCATTAAAAAAAAAAAAAAAAACACTTCACTGCCATTGAGTCGATTTTGACTCATAGCGACCCCCCTTGGGTTTCTGAGGCAGTACATCTTTACAGAAGTAGATCACCCTGTTTTCCTTCTGCAGAGCAGCTGGTGGGTTTGAACTGCCATCCTTCTGGTTAGCAAATGACTTAGGCACTGCACCACCAGAGCTCCTTCTGGGGACCCCAAGACTCCCATTATGGGAGCTGGCCACTCTCACCACCCTGTAGGCAGTGCTAAGAACTCGGGGTGCCTGAGCCCAAACCCATGCTGCTCCTTCCCGGCCGTGTGGCCTTAGGGAGGTGAATTAACCTTGCTGATCTCCGGTTCTTCCTGTGTCTAGCAGGGCTGGTGATCGTGTCCACCCATGCAGGGTGTTGTGTTTGACAAGAGCTGCTTCTGTCTCTTCTGCAGGCAGGACTCCTGTGGGAGGTGGGCAGGCACGGGGGCTTCAGGATGTGAGACTGAGAGGGTGTGGGGAACGAGGGTTTGGCTGGAGTCAGGAGAGGCCACAAGGACCCGGAGCAGAGCGAGCAGAAGGTCTGGATGCAGATTCTTCACTTCCTACCCTGCTCAGTCAGTTCATCTGTCTGCCTTTCGTTCAGTTGTAAAAAACCCCACAGGTTGCTGTTGAGTCAGTTGCGACTTACAGCGGCCCTATGCGTGTCAGAGTTTAACTGTTCCGTAGAGTTTTCTGTGGCTGTTTGTTCTTGTGATGTGGGTGAAAGTTGACAGAGCAAATTCATTTTCCATACAGCAATTCATACCCATTTTGTCTCATGACATTGACTGTGATTCCCCACAAGGTAACAGCTCCCTTCCCACTTCCTCCCTGTAGTTACCTCTTCCCTGTGTCCTTCCCTCCTATGCACTCCCGCCCCCTGAGCTGTCTCCCTGTATAAACACTGCCCTTCTGTTCTCCCACAATTGATTGATCGCTCCAAGGAGTGTATCTACCTGATGTAAATGTTCAGCCTGTACGCTGAACGTTTGTTGTTTGGCTGGCAGCCACAGAAGTGAGTTCAAGTCCAGACCTGAAAGGTAACTAGGGGCCGTAGTCTCAGGGGTCTCACTAGGTTCTATCAGACCAGCAAACCTGGTCTATTCTTATGATTCTGAGTTTTGTTCCACATTGTTCTCACACTCTATCCAGGACCTCCTGCACTGATCCCCGTGTGAGTGGTTGACAGTGGTAGCCGGGCACCATCTAGTTCTTCTGGTCTCATGGTCATATAGGCTGAGGATTGCATGGTCTACCAGTCCCTTGGACTGATTGTCTCTATGCATCTTTGGTTTTCCTCATTCTTCTTTGCTCTGGACAAGGAGAGACCCATCATTGCATCTAGATGGCCGCTTGCAAGCTTTTCAGACCCCAGTTGTTACTCAGGATAGTACGATGTAGAACGATGTTTTTGTGTAATATGTTATGCCAATTGAGCTTAATGTCCCCTTCGACCATGGTCCTAAGCTTCAGCGGCTGAGTTTTCCACCAGTAGATTTGTAGGCATTCCTTCCAAGGCACCTTTCGGTGGACTTGAACTGCAAACCTTTCTTTTATCCATTAATGCATCACGTGTTCGAACCACTCAGGGACTCCTGTTAGGCGGCAAGGGCTATCTGAAGGCTTTCCCTCCTCTCTGTGGCTGCCAGGAAACTCAGAGATCACGCTGACAAAACACAGCTCCGTCTATGGGGCTTCTGCTCCGGGTTCGCACATGGTCTCCTCCGGCGTTCATACCGCCACGCGGTAGGCACTGTGTTCCCTACCTGTTCGACAACAGAGGCATCCAAGGCCTTGCGGGGCTGGGACCACCCGGAGGTCACGGGGCAGCTGGGAATCGTGCAGCCCGCTTGATCTGGTTCAAGTGAGCAGAGGACCTCCCCTCCCCATCGCCTTCCCCCCGCTGCTCCTGTCTTCCTGGAGCCCCTGTTAGACTGTGCCTTGGAACCTTCTGGAAGAAAGTAGAGGATGAAGACAGCCTGGCCTGGCTGTTGTCTGGCTTCCTGCCAGGCTGTCCCTGTGAGCTCTTTCCCCACAGTTCACATAGCCCGTGTCAGCTGAGTCCAAAGTATTTTTCTTTTTATTTCTTCTGCAAACATTCTAAGGCCATTACGTAAAGTGTGGAGTAGAAGCCCACCCAGAGCTCCCCGCCGCCACCCAGTCTGGTGGGCGTGGTTGTGTGCGCACGCACCCACTCTGCCTGGGTGGGCTCCTCGAGCCGGCCTTCACCCCTGCCCCCTGTGGTGTCTGGGCCTGAGCTGGGGGCAGGGGTGAGAGTGAGGGGTGGAGGCCTGTTCCCCACCCCGGCTCCCAGGCGGGGCCAGGCTGGGGGATGACCACAGCAGGAGGTAGGGCCACACGGGGACTGGACAGCTTGAGGACCCCCCCCACCTGAGCTGCGGGGTAGCAGACAGGTCAGTGTTGGCCACAGCCTGGAAGGACGAGGTCAGGGGGATGATTTGGTAGTCACACTCTGGTTTGCCTGTTTCTGGGGTGTCAGGCTGAGGTGAGGGACAAGAGGTAAAGCAGGCTTGGCCTGCAGGCGTGGGTGCCTGGGGAGGTGCGCGCCCCCCCTCCCTGGGCCACGCTGTGCCCGGGCCCAGCGGCCCTCCTCCCTGCAGCAGCAGCCCGGGAGGCCGGATTATCGGTGCTAAAAATTCTGTTTATTGTTCCTTCTAATTAGAAAAATGCCCTCAGCACGCTGTAGGGGATTTGGGAAATGCAGATAAGCAGAAGGAATGAATGCCAGTATCCAGCCAAGTCCTCCCTGGGCCGGCCTTCTGGGTTCTGTCCATACACAGAGACATGTACACACAGACAGAGAGGTATAGAGACACAGACAGGTACACACAGGTACACAGAGATGGACACAGACGACACACACATAGACACACAGACACGCAGGTATATAGAGACAGACACATAGGTACACAGACACACACAGACACATGCCATCCAGACACTGACAGACACATGCCGTATACCGACACACATACATGCAGACATACACACACAGGGACATAGAGACAGACACACGCATAAACACACAGACACAGGGACATAGGGACAGGCACATGCCATATATAGAAACATACACACAGAGATAGACACATATGCCCAAATACATGTACACAGACACACACAGACACATGCCATATACCAACACACATACATGCAGAGAGACACACACAGGGACATAGAGACAGACACACACATAAACACACAGACACTATGTACGGATCTCACCCCCCATTTACTGATTGTGAGCTGAGCTGCCCGGCTTTGGAGCCCCCCTGTTCACACCTGAGTCATCCTGTCCACATGCCCCTGGGGACAGCCATCGGGGATGGTGCCCCTTGGAGTCATAGAAGACTCAGGGTTCAGTCTCTCCCCCCAGGTAGATTTGTGGAATGATGGGAGTTACCAGGTTGGAAACCCCAGAGGCCATGGAGTCGATACTGCCGGGCCTCGTGTAGTTAGCGTCGGACTGTGTGGTTATGGCAGTAGACTGCTGGGGCCTTTCTTCCCGGGCAGCCCTGCATGGATGCACACCTTCAGCCTAATGCTTAGCAGCTGAGACGTTCACCGTCTGCACCCAGTGTTATGGGAAAAGCAAACCCAGAGGAAATCCCTCCGCCAGGCACCCCAGCGGGCCCCGCCCCCTCTGCGCCTGCTGCCTGTCTTTGCGCAGAGGTCCTGGGTCAGAGCAGGCCCCCCTGGGCTGGTGGGTGGGACCTCTCCTGTGCAGGACACGGAGGGGCCCGGCTGGCCTGCTCACAGCACTGCCCCCACCCACAGTGGAACTCAAGATCGAGGTGGTGCTGCCGGAGAAAGAACGGGGCAAGGAGGAGCTGTCCGCCAGTGCCAAGGGCAGCCCCCGGACGTACCAGGGCAATGGCACAGCCCGCCACTTCCATGCTGAGGAGCGCCTGCCTGCCCCCCACCCCTACCCCGGCGCCCAGGACTACGTGGAGGCCGCAGTCTGTCACATCAAGGACCTCGAGAACGGCCAGTGGGTGCCGGGCCTGCGGAGGGGAGGGGGGCGTCAGCGGGCACAGAGCGGGGGAGGGCGAGGCCCAGGCCGAGGGCAGGGCCTGACCTCTAAGCGTGGCCCTCCCCAGGATGCGTGAGGTGGAGCTGGGCTTGGGGAAGGTGTTACTGCTGAAGGACAATGGCGAATTCCACGCCCTGGGCCACAAATGTCCACACTATGGGGCACCCCTGGTCAAAGGTGAGTCCGGGGCTGTGCCAGGTGTGTGTGGGAGGCAGGTGGGACCACCTTGAAGGGACACGCTGCCTCTCATGGCCATGCCCCCACTCTGCCAGGGCCCAGCCAGCCTTGGCCTGGACTCCTCATCCGTTCGTGGGCTGTGGGGAGGGTCCGGCGGGTGCAGGGACACAGGGTCCTTGCCCCGGCCCATTACCGTCCCTCCCAGGTGTGCTGTCCCGCGGCCGGGTGCGCTGCCCCTGGCACGGCGCCTGCTTCAACATACACACGGGGGACCTGGAGGATTTCCCGGGCCTGGACAGTCTGCACAAATTCCAGGTGGGGCTGGGCATGCGATGGAGGTGGGGGGGCTGGGGCTGGAGGCTCGGAAGCCTGGTTCTGAGCAACACAGCCCTTGCAGGTGAGGATTGAGAAGGAGAAAGTATTTGTCCGGGCCAGCAAACAGGTAAGGGCCATCGGTGGCTAGGGGCTTAGGCAGAAGGGAGAGGCAAGGAGGCGTCTTGGCCCAGGGGGTGGGGTGTGCAAAGGCCCTGTGGTGGGAGGTGGCCTGCTGCATGTGGCTGCAGGGTTGAGCAAGGGGCCGCAGCGCAGCACCTGGAAGATAATGGTGGCCCAGCTCCCACCAGCCCCCTCCCCTTGGCCACTCCCAGGCCTTGCAGCTGCAGCGAAGGACCAAGGTGATGGCCAAGTGTATCTCCCCCAGCGCCAGCCACGGTGGCAGCACCAACGTGCTCATTGTGGGGGCAGGTGGGTGGTGGAATCGTGGCGGCAGGTCGGGTGGGGGGAGAGCCAGGGGTGGTCCCTGATCCACGGCCCGTCCCCTCAGGTGCAGCTGGCCTGGTGTGCGCTGAGACGCTGAGGCAGGAGGGCTTCTCGGACCGGATTGTTATGTGCACGCTGGACCGCCACCTTCCCTATGACCGGCCCAAGCTCAGCAAGGTGCGGAATGGGCCAGCTGGGAGCTGGCCAGGGCCAAACTCCCATCCCTTTGTCCCAGTTGGGCTCCTAAGGGATCTGGCCAGCTGCCCGCTCTGTTCCCTCGACGCCCCGTTCTGAGTACAGACCTGGGTTGGTTGGGTCCTGTTTGTCGCCTCTGTGTGAGACCTGTGGCCCAGCCTCAGGCTCCCTGGACCCAGTGTCCGTGGCTGCAAGGAACGGTGGCCATCTGGCCCGGTCTTGAGCCAGCTGCCTCCCGTAGTGCCTGGACTCACAGCCTGACCAGCTGGCCCTACGACCCAAGGAGTTCTTCCGCGCCTATGGCATCGAGGTCCTCACGGAGGCTCAGGTTCGTGGCTTTGGGTGGGGAAACTGAGGCCCAGGGGAAAGATGGGAGCTGCATGGCCTCTGGAGGGGTGGGGGATGCTTGGTCCCCTTGGCCCTGCTACCTGGGCCCAGGCTTGCTCCTGGTGCTCAAGTCCTGGGACTTTTTTTAGGCGGACACACACACAGCCCTTGCTTGGCGGGAAGACAGCTGACCAGCTCAGGACTGGGATGGGAGAGTCTGGAGGGACTTGGGAGCATAGGGAGGGCTTTTAGGGGACAGCGACGCTGAAGCTTAAATAATGAGAGGGAGCTGGCAGGCAGAGAAGGAAGTATGGCAACCCAGGAGGTAGGAGCGGAAGCTGGCGGGGGCTGCTCTGGGCGGTGTTGCTGGATGGAGTGACTGCCTACACCAGGTCTGCGCCCAGGCCCACGCCCTGTCTGGCGGGGTTGCAGGTTGTCACCGTGGATGTGAGGAACAAGAAGGTGGTGTTTAAGGATGCCTTCAAACTGGAGTACAGCAAGCTGCTGCTAGCGCCAGGGAGCAGGTGGGACCCCGGCCAGCAGGGTGCTGGCCAGGCTGGGAGGGCTAGGCTGCAGGGAGCCCCTCACCAACGTGGACAACGTCTCAGCCCTAAGACCCTGAGCTGCAAGGGCAAAGAAGTGGAGAACGTGTTCACCATCCGCACACCCGAGGACGCCAACCGTGTGGTGAGGCTGGCCCGGGGCCGCAATGCTGTCATCGTGGGAGCTGGCTTCCTGGGTGAGTGGCCTAGGGCGTGGGCGGGTGGCCGGGCCATCTGGGGAGGCACAGGGTGCCAGCCTGCTGCCCCTGCCCATGTCCCCAGGGATGGAGGTGGCCGCCTACCTGACCGAGCAGGCCCACTCGGTGTCTGTGGTGGAATTGGAAGAGACCCCCTTCAGGAAGTTCCTAGGGGAACGTGTCGGTCGAGCGCTCATGAAGGTAAGTCAGTCCACCCTGTGCCCGGCCCCGGGGACTCTGGGAGCCCTGAGCAGTCCCTGGCCAGGCCCTCACTCACGGTCCAGCCACCCACCTGCCCAGTAGATGTTCGAGAACAACCACGTGAAGTTCTACATGCAGACGGAAGTGTCGGAACTGCGGGCCCATGAGGGAAAGGTGGGCGTCCCCTTCCCCGAGCCTCCTGCCCCGAGTCTCTGTGCCCGGAGCCGGGTCCAGCTGCTCATTCCCCTGCCCACAGCTGAAGGAGGTCGTGCTGAAGAGTAGCAAGGTCGTGCGGGCTGACGTCTGTGTGGTGGGCATTGGTGAGTGGGCAGGTGGCCTGAAGCCACCTCACACACACACTAAGGGACTCGGCCTGTCCCTTCCTCTCCCATAGTCTCACTCTCCATATCTGTAAAATGGGGACTTTGACCGTGCCCGCGTGGTAGGGTTGGTGGACAACATGCAACTGCACCCTGGCAAGGAAGATACCCCCGATGACCACTTCCTGTTAACGGTCCATGCCCTGCCCTGTGTCCAAAATGGGGCAGCCCCTGGCTGGCCCTTGTTCCAGTTGAGGTGCCCATTTGAGGCCAAGCAAAGCTGGGAAGGGCCAGCTCAGGTGCTGGGGACTTGGCGGTGCGCAAGAGGGTGGGACTGGGGCACAGACGCGGTGGTGGCTGTCCCACCAGGTGCCGTGCCCGCCACAGGCTTCCTGAGGCAGAGTGGCATCTGTCTGGATTCCCGCGGCTTCATCCCAGTCAACAAGGTGGGTGGGGCTCCGACGAGATAGGTGGGGGGGTCCAGGCCTGAGCCTGCCCCCACGGAGCCCCACCTCGCCCCTAGACGATGCAGACCAACGTCCCAGGTGTGTTCGCAGCCGGCGATGCCGTCACCTTCCCCCTGGCGTGGAGGAACAACCGCAAAGTGAACATCCCACACTGGCAGATGGCACATGCCCAGGGTATGGCAGGGCACAGCCTCCCCCAGGCCCACCCCTTAGGTGGCAGGCTTTGGGTCCTGGCCCCCGTTGGCCATGGAGGGGTCTCTTCTGGGCTGTCTGCCAGCCTCATCCAGGTGATCACGCCAACCCTGTGGCCCCAGAGCCAGTGCCCTTGGGACACCCCATTCTGCTTGTCACAGTGCCCCTTCCATCAGCCTTGTCTGCCCTTCTGTCTTCAGGGACACACATCCTGCAGAATTCCTCCAACTGACTCGCGCTGTCACCTGGTGCCTGCGACGCACCCGCCTCCTCAGGGTTACCAGAAGCTCTCTGAGCTCAGCTGTGCTGGCGGGCCCCTGGGAGGCAGCCATCTGGGCCTGGAGGCTGGGCTCAGTAGGGAGTGGCAGTGCCCTTCAAGGACTAAACTCCTCCTGACCCTTGGTGGCCACCATGTCCCCGTCTGAGGCTGAGTCTCCTCGTATTGCCATAATAGACACACCACAAGTGGGTGGGCTCACAGAACCAAAATGTCCTTCCTCACAGCTCACGAGGCTAGGGATCTGAAGTCAGGGCAGCGGCTCTAGCGGCTCTGTCTCCGTCGGATCCAGGGGAAGGTTCTTCTCTCAGCTTCTCAAGGCCCTGGGTTCCTCGGTGATCTGCCTGTGGTATCTGTCGTCCCCCGTTTCTGCTCAGTTCTGTGTCTAACCTACTCTGTATAACTCAGAAGAGATTAGGTTTGGGGGCACACCTACCAAACAAACCCCTATTTCCAAATTGAATTACATCTACAGGTATGAAAATCAACCAAACCCACTGCTGGGAGTCGATTCCCACTCACAGCGCCCCTAGAGGACAGAGTGGAACTGCCCACAGGGTCTCCAAGGCTGTTGATCTTTACAGAAGCAAAGCCCAAACCACACCCACTGCCGTGGAGTCCATTCTGACTCACAGCGCCCCTAGAGGACAAAGTGGAACTGCCCACAGGGTCTCCAAGGCTGTCAGTCTTCAGGGAAGCAAAGCCCAAACCACACCCACTGCCGGTGGAGTCGATTCTGACCCATAGCGCCCCTAGAGGACAGAGTGGAACTGCTCCTGAGGGTTTCCAATCTTTATAGAAGCAGACTGCCTCATCTTTCTCCCACAGAGCAGCTGGTGTGTTTGAACTCTAACCTTTTTATTAGCAGCCCCGTACTTTAACCACTGTGCCACCAGAGCTCCTTTTCGCAGGTATAAGGGTCAGGAATCCAACAGTTATTTATTTTTTTTGGGGGGGGACACAATTTAAATCCATAACACCCCCAAGTCTCACCTACTCTGCACCCCTGGTGGTAATGGCCCCTAAATTCCAGATGCTGGCAAGTAAGCTGCCTCCTCTTTCCCATAAAAAGGGTCCTCAGATCCTCAGTCTGGGGAAGTTTGTACCCAAATCCAAAGTCTGAAGGTGCTGTTAGGTTGTAAGGAGCCAATGGCTACTCATAAATTAAGTACAAAACAAAACAAAACAAATACCTGCAGTGGAGTGATGCCACTCACAGTGCCCCTAGAGGACAGAGTGGAACTGCTCCAGAGGGTCTCCAAGGCTGTCAATCCAGGGAAGCAAAGCCCCAACCACACCCACTGTCTGGAGTCCATTTGGAGTCACAAGGGCCCTAGAGGACAGAGTGGAACTGCCCCAGAGGATTTCTAAAGCTGTCAGTCTTTACAGAAGTAGACTGCCTTGCCTCCTCTTTCTCCTGGTGAGTGGTTGAGTGAGTTCAAACTGCTGGCCTTTTGGTTAGCAGCCAAATGCTTTAACCACTGTACCACCAGAGCTCCTAATGAAATGTTTTAGCTTGACCGTTTGGAGCATTTCTCCACTAATGCCTAGCTGCAGGGGCCCAGCAGGGCCTCACAGGAACTGGAAAGCCACTACGGCTTTTTTCTCAGGAGGCCTTGTGCGTGGCGGTCACCTCTGCTTCCCTGGGCACTTCACAGCTCCCACCTCATTAAGGTCGACTCTACTTTGAGGAGGCATCTCTTCCCCAGTGGTATTTTGAATGCCTTCCAACCCGAAGGGCTCATCTTCAGCACTATATCTGGACAACGTTCTGCCGCTACCCCTAAGGTTTTCACTGGCCAGTGTGTTCAGAACACCAACCAGGTCCTTCTTTCTAGTCTGTCTTAGTCTGGAAGTGCTGCTGAAATCTGTCCACCATGGGTGACCCTGCTGGGATCTGAAATACCAATGGCATAGCTTTAGCGTCAGAGCAATGCAAGCCACCTTAGTGGGACACGCTGGGAGGCGGGAGGTGGCCTTCTGCCTCAGGCCAGCCCAGGTGCCAACCAGAGCTTCCAGGCCAGGGTACTTCATTCCAAATTCCTCAGCAGAAGAGTCTCCTTGGCTGGCCTTGGCCAAGTGTCCCTTCATCACCGATCGGCCACGCACAGGGTGCACTGGCTAAGGCCGGATGGCATCCAGCCCATGGGGATGGGGGTAAGGTGGGGGTAGCCCCTACGCTGGGCCCCTAGGGCGCGCGGTGTGGGGTAGTGAGGGTCTGCGTTCTCACGGCCCTGGCTCCTGCAGGGCGTGTGGCGGCCCAGAACATGCTTGCGCAAGAGGCAGAAATCAGGCCGGTGCCGTACCTCTGGACCGCCATGTTCGGCAAGAGTCTGCGCTACGCAGGTAACGGCGGGTGGGCCGGGCTGAGGGCTCGGGGGCGGGGCTGTGGTCGGCAGGACCAGAAACGGGGCTGCGTGGAGCGCCGAAGGTTCGGGAACTCGGCTTTAAGATGTCAGCGGAGGGCAGTGGCCGGGCCATGAGCAACGTAGGACCGGGGTGTGAGCATCCCCGGGCGGGGCCATGAGCATCCGGGTGATGAGACGTCAGCATCCTGGGGCGGGGCCATGAGCTTTCTGGGGCGGGGCCATGAGCATTCTGGGGCAGGACTACGAGCATCCTGGGGCGGAGCCGTCAGCATCGTGGGGCGGAGCCATGAGCATTCTGGGGCGGGGCCATGAGCACCCCGGGGATGAGACGTCAGCATGGGGGGGGGGCACGAGCATCCTGGGAGGGGGCCGCGAGCGCACTAGGAACAAACCCCCCCCCAAAAAAAACCCAAACCCACTGCCGTTGAGTGAGTAGATTCTGACACTTAGCGACCCCCACTGGGTTCCCAAGGCTGTAAATCTTTAGGAAGGTAGACTGTCACATTTTCCTCCTGCAGACCAGGTTTGAACTGCTGACTTTCTGGTTGGCAGCCAAATGTCTTGGCTAAGCCACCAGAGCTCCTTGCACTAGGAATAAGTGTCTTGGAACCCGCTGGGGGTGGGGCCATGGATTACCCGAGAACTAGGGAGCTGGGTCATGGGGGGGTTGCCTATGAGGAATTAGGAGGGACCAGGGCCTAGGACGTGGATCCCACCCCTTCTGCCCCCCTCGCAGGTTACGGAGAAGGCTTTGATGATGTCATCATTCAGGGTGACCTGGAGGAGCTGAAGTTCGTGGCCTTTTACACCAAGTGAGAACAAGGGGCCGGAGGCGGTTGTGGTGAGCACTGGGAACTTGGTCTGGGAGGAGACAGAGTGCCCGAGGGAGGCATGTGCAGCGAGCCACAGGGCGGAGTCAGGCGAGATGTAGGAGCCTGGGGCAGCACGTGTCAGCTCGGAGGTGGGTGTTGACAGCTGCGTTTATAGTGGAGGAGACACACAGCTGGAGTGGTGAACCTGGGACCGGAGTCCAGCCCTGAGCGGCAGGTGCGAAACAGGGAGAGCTGGGTGCTTAGAACACAGCTGCTGTCCAACCAGTGAGATGCGCAAGACCCCTCCCTGCCCCAGGTGGGCAGCAACTTGTCAGCGTCCTGTCAGCAGGGGGCTGCTGGGAGGCCATCCTCAGACTGGGCTGCTCTTTCCCTACAGAGGCGACGAGGTGATTGCTGTGGCTAGCATGAACTACGACCCCATCGTGAGCAAGGTGGCCGAGGTGCTGGCCTCCGGCCGAACCATCCGGAAGCGGGAAGTGGAGTGAGTGGGGGCCAGCGGGGTTAGAACACTGGGAACCTTAAGTCCCCACACCTCACTTTAGTCCTAGGGCGGTGCAAGGCACGGGCTGCCATTCGGGAGTGGACTAGTGTATGAGATCTGGGCAGATAGGCAGGGAAGGGGGGCTGTGTGTGTGGGGAGGAGTGGTGTGTCAAGGTGAACTTCTAGGACCAGCCCTGCTTCCAGAGCACCTCCACGGACTGGGGGAAGCCTGGAAGCCACTGGGGAGCAGGATGCTGGGGCCTCAGAATGGGAGGAGGGCGGCCACCGCTTCAAGCATTGGCAGGCAGTTGACTGGCAGGCCATTAACTGGCAGGCTGTTGACTGGCAGGCGCTCTACCTGTCTCTCTCTCTCTCCCTCTCGCCCTCCTGAAGGCTGTTTAGTCTGCACAGCAAGTACGTGTTCTCCCCTGTCCTTCTTGACTGTCCTTTTGGTCACTGCAACCCAGAGCCTCCATTGGTGCATCCCCTCTGCCCAAGTGCACACCCCTCTGCCACCAGTAGGCTCCCTGCAGCCCTTGTGGGCCAGCTGCTTCTAAGGCCCAGAGTGGGGGAGGAACCTTGCTTTCCTTTGCTCCTGATCCCTCCTCCCTTCATTCCTGCAGGACTGGTGACATGTCCTGGCTCACCGTGAAAGGAACCTGAGCTCACACACAGCAGACCTGGACAGGCTGGCAGGGGCACCAGGGACAGAGGCCAAGTGCCCTGGGGCAGGTGCCAACCTCTAATTTTCCAGGATCCTCGTAGGGCAGAACCTGAGCCCTGCCAGCACTCACCTTCAGCTATCTGGCTCCCCTGCAGAGAGGCCTAAGCTTTAAAAAGTTGCCTTGGCAGCCAAATGGCTGGCACTGGAGGCAGGGGAGGCCCTGCTTCTGCTCCCTCTTTGGAACTGCTTCCCTGCAGACCCTGCAACATCTTAGACTTGATCTTAAAATTAAAACGCACCCGTTTGCAGATCTTTGATTCACAGCGTGATGGGCAAATGCTCACGGGGTTTGGGGGTGGAGGGAGACAGGCACAGCTGTAGAATGCTTAGTGCCTCGAAGTTCACCAGTGGGCACCTAGAGGCAGCAGCAACTAATTCTGCCCCTGGGGTCAGGGAAGGCTCCTCCAAGGGCACTCCAGGTAGCAGGGACAGCACAAGCAAAGGACTTGAAACAGGAAGTGCTTTTACAGCGGTGAGAGGCAGTGACTAGCACTTGGTCTGTATTTGCCCACTTAAGGCTGTAAGAAGTGGGTTCCCACTTCTTACAAACCCCATTTTCCCAGCAGTTGCCCAGTGCCTCCCAGCCAACAAGAGGGGAGACCCATGGGGCCAGAGCTGAGGGTGCAAACAGAAAACTGATGGCTGGGTCGCCTACGTTAGCCACTGCAAGCACGGAACCCTCCGCCCCCCTGTCCTGGGAGCGGGGGACGATCCCAGGTGGAGCCACGCGCAGACAAGGCATGCCGGGAACTGCTGGCTCGCAGCGGAGGATCCCCGTGCGGCGTAGGTCTGACAGGCGCAAAGGAAGAGCAGTCTGGACAGGGCTGGGGACGGGAGCGAGAAACTGGACGCTCGTACTTCGCCGGAAACACTTCCCAGAAGGCTACAGTCTCGCTGCGAAGGGGCGCCCCAGGGTCCGCACTGGCCCTGCCTGTCACGACGTGCCTAGGCCTATCGGGAAGGTCGAGCGAGCGGAAGCGCGGTGCTGGCCGGAAGTGCTGGGCGGGCGGTATAGGGATCGCCGGGAAATGTAGTCCCACCGGCCAGCCTGGGGCGGTGGCCGCAAGGCCCAAAGACCTGGCGGCTGAGCCGGCATTGAGTAGGGATGGCTGCTCCAGGAGGCTCGGGGGGCCCGATTGGGGCTGGAGCCTTGGTAGGCGGCGCGCGCTCCAAGGTGGCTCCAAGCGTGGACTTTGACCACAGCTGCTCGGACAGCGTCGAGTACCTGACGCTCAACTTTGGGCCCTTTGAGACTGTACATCGCTGGCGGCGCCTCCCGCCCTGCGACGAGTTCGTGGGCGCCCGGTACGGTGGATTTCGGGTTCCCAGAGCGGAATTCACGGGCGAGTTTGGAGCTTGGTTCCCAGGAGTTGGTAATGGGGGGGTGTGTGTGTTCGGGACGGTGCTCAGGACAAGAGAAGGGGATCCTAGGGGTTCCAGAGCGGGGTGACCCGGAGCAGGGTCTCGAGTCAAGGTTCCAGGTGCCCTGCTGTGGTCAGGGGAGAGTCATGGAGTCCTGGGGCGGAGTCAGGGGTCCCCGCGTAGGTGTCGATTGAAGGTATGGGACTTGGTTGGTTTCGCGGTGGAGAGGTGTCAGCCGTCCTCTGTGGCAATTCGTCTTGGTATCATCCTTTGGGTGCCCCCCAAGGGGATCCCGGCCTTACGGCCCGCCGCCACTCCTTTGTTTACAGGCGCAGCAAGCATACGGTGGTGGCCTATAAAGATGCCATCTACGTATTTGGAGGAGACAACGGGTGAGTGAGTCTGACCCCGGGAGTGTTGGGACCAGACAGGCGTGCTGGCTGGGGGCGGGGCCTCTGCAGGGTCGCTGCTGTCCTCCCAGGTGCTGTGGAAACACTCCAAGCCTCAGTTTCCGCATCTGTGGGGTGTGAGTATCTGCAGTTAGCGGCCAGCTCATGGTGAGGATTATCCATATTCTGTATGCTTTGTTCATTCCATTGACTGGAATTCTGGAAACTTGAACCGTCCGCACTTGGGAAGCGCTCTGGTGGTGCAGTGGATAAAGCATTAGTTGGGGAATTTGAACCCACCAGCCGCTTCTTAGGAGAAAGATGAGGCCGTCGGCTTCCATGATAATGGATATCACTACTGTGGA